AAAAGTGATCAAATTTATCATCTATATGCGGTGCACCTTCCCTTCGACTTTATGCATCTAAATAAGGTTTTAAAAAATAAATTTAGATGGCGACTAGAGTGGTCAAAAAATGTAATGTGGTAAAGAAAATCTAAACTTTAAAAAGAAAAATTATTCGGATAATGTGCTACATTCACATTAATAGTAACTATATGCATTTTGTTACCATAAGATGCTAAAGAGCTATCCAAAGTAAAGTCAATTAAATAGTTTCACGATAGATCAATCTAAAGATGAGATGTTACGATCCTGTTACGGAACTATTCCGTCGGGATTTGTAATCGTTAAATCAACTATCCTTGATAGTTACATTATGATCTAACAGTTACAAATCCCAACAGAATAATTTGATAAGGGGATTGTTGTATTTCCCCAATCTAAAAGGGAAGTCATTTTTATTAAATATGGAAATAAGTGTGCATGCGTTATGAGAAATGGGCGTCCTGGGATTCTTGATTGGGGGTGAGTTAATATTTTGGGATTAAAAAAAAGAAAGTAATAATAAAAACACATCATATTTGGCTGTCGTCAAGTAAAAACTCCAATCCAAGAACCACAACGTTTTTGTGTGCAAGTGGTCTAGAAAGAGACAGAGATACAGCGAAGAGAGAAAAAAAAAAAAGGGCAGACGAAGAAGAAAAAGCCCTAAAGCCAGCAATTTTGATTGAGCGTTGATAATTTCCTTTTCTGGGATTTTTTTTTTCCGGCGTCACATTGTCAAAGATCCTTTACATCGGATTTTCCGAAAGGTTGGTGTTCATAATATGTTTTTTTTTTTTTTTTCTTGGACTGTATCATCAGTTTGTGATTATCTGGGCGTGTCCGAGTTTATGATGTTATGGGATTGCTTCACTTTTTTAGTTCGATTCAATCTTGATCTTTTATTTGTGGGATTGTGAGAACAAGGAGCTTGATTTTGGTTCTAACGAATTGAATCGAGCTCGATGTTGTCTTTGCTCGAGGTTTGATGTGAACAGAATGGTAAGTTTTTAGCTGGTATTCAGACATTGTATACAGCTTGAAATGATGGTGATCCCAGAATTTTTTTAGCTCTGGGCAAGGTAGTAAATGTTTCTTTTTTGTCTTCTAAAGAAAATGTTACAGGAGAATTTGGAGCCTACTTTGGGAGAGGGGGTTATGTTTGTGTGGTCATATGATTGAGATTCAGGGGCATTGGTTTTGTAGATTGGTGGTCGATTCATTTATATGTCATATTATCTATCTTAACGTCGAAGCAAAATATGCTCTCACAAAGTAATAGTTTTCGAAATTCAATGTATCTGTATTGCTGCTACTATGTTGGGTTGAACTGGTAAATGACTAGAGGAAGTCACTAAAAGCTGCGATTTTTGGTGTGAATTAATCTGTTAACGATCATAGCGAGTCTCCAAAAGTTAGATTAGGACATTTTTCCTAGTAATGGACGATTTTAGTAGCACTGGTGTTCTAGGAGTGTTACTTGTTACTTGATTGTTTTTAACTGGTGTTATGGAATGCAATATTGTAAGAGTAAGAGTAGAGCAATCTTGCATCTTTAACATGCAATTTGATATCCTTTCATATTTGGATTTTTTATTCATCCTGAAGAATAGCGAGGGAAAATATTTTAAGATGAAAAGAATAAATTGACACGGTACGATATGAGATGAAAATTTAATGATGAAGGTTATGGTATAGAAATAGTGAAGGAATTTTTTTTTTGATATAATCAGAATTTAGTAGCTTGTTAGAAAATGTGATAATTATTTCTTATATTTTTATCTTTATCCTTTTTTTTTTTTGATTTATTGCATTAGAAGTGCTTGAAAAAAGTGAAAATGAATGAATACTATATTTCTAAAACTTTCTAAAGCATTTGCATATTTTATGAAGTTTTCTGTGAAGGAATGAAAATGAGTTTATTTCACCCC